GATGATGGGAACACTTTAGGGTAATGCTGTGATTGAGCCTCTCTGGGTTTCCAGGACTCTTGTAGATCTCTGCATCCTTGTTTTTTCCCAAACATAGCCTGGGCCTGGGGAGAGGAAGGCATCAAGAGATCTGTGGTGTGAATGCACTCCTTTTGTAGCATTTATCATAATTGTAATATAAACAATATTTGTGCAATTATTTGTTTGCTTATTGTCTCCCCCACAACACTTTAAACTCCACAGCAAAATCTATGTCTGCTGAGCTGTATTCACCAGCTCTTGGCACAGTGTTTGGCATATACTAGGCATTTAGTGAATATTGTATGAATGAATAAATAACTAATGAATTAGTGTTAATAGTTATTTGTCCATCTGTAAACAAATTGGAATTTTATGGTCTGAATTAGTTTTTATGGTAAATTACAGCTTCATCCAAGTTTATCTACTAATACTGAATGTAATATTAATCTTTTAGGAGAATATAGTAGATACGTTATATTCAGTGGTGTGCTGGTAAATGCTAACAACTGGTTCTCTATAGAAAAAAGTCCTGATTTGTGGCATTTTCCAATTTCTGTTGTCTAAATACATGCACCAGGGCTCGTTTCAGGCTTACTCATATTACTTCATTGAATGTGGAGCTGGGAAGAAATGTGCACAACTGGTTCTTGTGAACCAGTTCTTATGAACCAGTGAAAGCTGGCTCCAGAGCAACACTGAAGCACTTTTATATGCGAGTTTTAGCAATGCATTGTTCTTCACGTACAAAGATTGTGCTGGTGATACACATTCACTACAACATGTACTTTAAAAAGATTTTGGATTAGTAAAGGTAATGCTATCAACTATGAAAGAGAAACTCAGAAAGTTTCTGTAGCTCAACAGAATAGAAGTTTATTTCTCACCTATGTGAAATCCAGACTGATGTGGCTGGTCAGCAGAGGGCTCTCTTCCAAGTGCTCATTTAGGTTCCCAGGCTTCTTTTTTTGTGTGTGTGGCTTTTTTATCCCCTAGGGTCTTGAATGAAGAGCATGCTGGTAGCATATGAGAGTTTTTTAATGGTCAGGAAAATGGCACACATCATTCCACTTATAATCCATTGGCCAGAGTATAGTCATATGGCCATGGCCATCTCTACCTACAAGGGAGATTAGGAAATATAGTGTTCTAAGAGAAAAAAGAAGTAAGTTTAATAGCTAGCCAGGATCTTTTATGGTTTTTTAGTCATGTGATAGGTTAAACTCATCAATTTACACTCTTCTCTGACTAATGCCACACATTTATAAGCAGGCTGGCGATGATCAGAGGTGGAGTCTAATAAATTCTTTTATCTGTGCAGAGTTAGCTAGATCTTATGAGCTTGGCCTATGGTCTCATTAACACCAGTCTCTAACCTATAATCCTTCCCTTCTCTGAATTACTCTTTTATTTATTATCCCTATTTAGATGAAAAGCCAGAGTTTTGCAGAGGTTTACCTTTCTGTAATTTATTGTACACACTTAACACAATTTTGTTTTTTGCTTTCTTTGACTATTCAGTTTAGCTATTGCATTTACCATTTTTATGGTTTTAAAGAGATATTCCATTTTCCTTAGTTTTTTCCTCCCTTTCAACTCTACCAAGGATGTTTGTGGAACGGAACATATGGTGATAAGTGACAAATTTGGGTCATTAGAGAATATTCCATTTCTTAGTATTGCTATATTACTTTGAAAAATTTAAATTTGGCATATTTAGAACTGAAGGTAATAATACCTTATAATTTTGAATCCTGTATGTCTTCGTATTCTCAGATCCTAGATGTTTTTGATAATTATGAGGACCAGCAAAACTAATAGGCTCTAACCATGGTGATTTACAGGCATATATATTACTAAGATATCTTTAACAGCATTCATCATAAGATACATTTGCTGGTTAACTTAATGGGTTAAAGGGTTCCATTAATAAAAGTCCTGTGGTTTTATTCCCAAATGAGTTAAATTTTGTTCCATGGTCACAGAATTTACCTCTAATAGACATTAATCATTTCATAGCCAATTAGTGGAAAGTCATCTCATAGCATGTATGTGTGTATGCGTTTGTGAGACGTAGTTCAGTATCATCAATTTATAAATTAAGTTGCTATGTGTATAAAGGGCTTCAAGTGAAAGTATCAGTCCCTGGTACTACTTGAAGTGAGTGGATTTAGGCTTCCTGAGCTTTAACGATTACTAAACTATTAATCTAAGAGTAGGAGGAAATAGTCAAAGAAGAAAAGGAAAGTGAATTGGATGTTAGGATTTGAGGATACTAGGAGCTAGCAGTGTACGAGGGAACATAGGATATAGTCAGAAAAATAGCAACCAATGTGGATAGCCCAGAGAATGCAGGAAGGGCAAAATACTGAATCTTTAATAAGAATCAGACATCATCCTTCATGCCTTATACTCATTTATTTTATATTAATATCCACTGGGTGTTAACAGATGAGGAAAATGAAGCCCATAGTGCTTCCAGCTCTTTTTCTCACTGTGGGCTATGGAGAAGTGATACTATTACTCTTCGTATGGTGAATAGTTCACACTGGGGTAAATTGGCAAGGCTCATGGCCTATGGAGTCACTCTGAGGAGCATACATGTAACCCATTCAACATATTGAATTGAGAATTTCTGCTCTAACCAGTATTTCTCTAACTTTATCAAGCATCAGAATCACTTGTAGGATTTGGCAAAAAAAAAAAAATCAGAGATATCTGGGTCCCATCCCAGAAATTCTGATTCAGTAGCTCTGGAGTGGGGCCTGTGAATTTGCACTTCTCACGAGATTCTAGGTGATACTGTTAGTGCTGTCTCAGGGATAGTCTTTGGGAATCTCTGCTCTAGAAGAGGTTAAATAACCTGCTTACCTTGTGACAATTAATAAAGCAACAATAGGTTGTTTCTGCAGATGATTGTGATTGGATAATTATCTGTCATAAATTCTCATTTCTGTTTCATTGTCAATTACCAGGCACAAAAGGATGTTATTCTTCAATGCTCTTGAGTTTGACTTATTCCAGATAAATTTACACCACAGAATCATATGTCATATATTATCACTGTACCATGAATAGTAATTTGTTTAAAATAAAACAGAAAAGTTTAAATTCAAACAATTTTTTAACATTATTTTGTGTATCTGTCTCTTTTAAAAGAGACCTGCAATACCTACATTTGTCACAAGATGGCATCAAAAGCCTGAAGATTTTGGTTGAAATTCGACTTTTGAGACTACTGATGGGTTAGATATATTTATATTTCATGTATATTCAAACAAAAAAAATTTGAACTATGAGCTATTTTTTAAAAATTTGAGTGAGATTTTTGTATTTTCATATCAGAAATACTTTCTTTTTTACTTATAAAAATAAAATAGTCACTTATATTGACATTATTGATGACTAATTATTGGAAATCAATGAAAGGTAAATCTCAGTGCAATAATATCAAATATCTTATTATCATATTTCCCCCCAAAGGAGGAGTTCAAGTTAATTCAAGTCACTAAGTATTTAGAAGGTCTTACCATTCTATGAGTTATAAGGACTTATTACGCAAATAAAAGATATAGACTTTACCCCCAAGAAGCTTTGAATTTAGTTGGGGAAAAAAGAAATGTGTATGCAATTCAAAGAGAACAAACTGATAAAAAATGTCAAGTACAATGTTGTGTGATGTGGACTATACAAACAATATAAACTGGAATAATGGGCAATTAAGCAAAAAATGTAAATGGCATTTTACAAAAACATCCTTGTATCAGTTGAAAATACCATGTTGAATCTTTTACTGCAGTTATCTATATTATTATAATTTGTTTAAACTATGAGAAAATGTTTAGCAATCTGGAGAGCTGTGTAAGATTCAGTATTTGACATAAACAAAACATCAGAAAACACTCACTTGAAATATAAACTCACCTTTTGTTTCATGAATATATGATTTTATTTTTTTCTGATTAATTGAAAAAGATTTTTCAGAAAAGGGTGAAGGTTTTCTGGCCACAAAGATATTAGTTATAATATTCTTAGATTCCTGGAGTCTGAAAAATGTATCTATTAAAAAATCGAGTATAGAACGGTGGTTACCAGGGGCTTGAGGGAGGGAGGAAAGGGGGTTTGCTGTTTAATGGGCATAGATTTTGAGTTTGCAAGATGAACAAGTTTTGGAGATATGTTTCACAACAATGTGACTATGCTTAACACTACTGAACTATGCACTTAAAAATGGTTAAAATGGGAAATTTTATGTTTCTTTACCACAATTAAAAAAACCCGTGTCCTCCTACAAATTATGAGCAATTAATAGGTTTTTACTGAGATTCAACAATGTCCCTAGCTTTATTTTAGCCATTAGGAGCTGCTTAAAAGAAATAAAAACTCCCTCAAAAAGCCTATAGTATAATGGGTGATAGATTAATCTAATATTAGTAAATAATCTACTGGAAGTCTAACATATACCAGGCATTATGCTAGAAATTTTATATAGATTATTTGTAATCTTCCATCTTCAAAACAATACAGGAAAGTAAGTATTATCATCTCTATTTCTCTATTTTATCATTAAAGAAACTAAGTTTTATAGATATGAAGGTTCAGTATTTTGTTGAAAGTTGCAAAGTTTCTAATCTTGGAGTTCGTATTTAAACCCACGTCTCTCTAGCTTCAAAATCCAGTTTCTGTATACTACACTATGTCCCTAATTTAAATAAAAAATAATTAAAGAATACAAATAAACAACTAGTAATTTGGCAGTCTAGTTTGGTATTTCTACTGCCAGAAAACACTGTCTATTTCATTATAATTATTGGATAAAATTAAAAGAAAGGATGTATGATTTAATTAATGGTAGCAGTTAATCTGTATTTCATTTGTAAAGGATAACCATATAATCTTTTTGTTGGCTTGAATCTTTGTCTCTCTTTTTCTTTTTAATTTTTGGAAACACTAATTTCTTTTCCCTATGTATTCATGTGCAGGTTATGTGGGTATGTAATTTGTGCCGAAAACAACAAGAAATCCTCACTAAATCAGGAGCATGGTTTTATAATAGTGGATCTAATACACCACAGCAACCTGATCAAAAGGTTCTCCGAGGACTGCGGAATGAAGAGGCGCCTCAGGAGAAGAAAGCAAAACTACATGAGCAGGCCCATTTCCAAGGACCCTCAGGTGACTTATCTGTACCTGCAGTGGAGAAAAGTCGATCTCATGGGCTCACAAGACAGGATTCTATTAAGAATGGGTCAGGAGTGAAGCACCAAATTGCCAGTGACGTAGCTTCAGACAGGTAAACATTTTGCTCAATCTTTAGGTAAACATATTATTTTTAATCTTCATTCCAAACAGAAATAAAAATACATGAAATGCTTAGGCAACAAGTTGTCCAAATGTAATGCAGATGTCCATGTGTTTTATATAAATGCTGAAAGTGATGTTCAGGACTTGAGCTATTATAGGTTTGAACAATCTTAGGTTTGATGAGGGAGTGTCAGATTATCAGATTTTCCAGAATAAAGAAGTGAAACAGAACAGGGAACTTAGATAGGAGGTTATTGTCATAGGAAAGTCAAAGTGGGCTAAGAGCAATGGACTGAAGAATAGATGGTTTTTAAGACACTTTAGAGAGGCTGGATTGATGGAACTAACTGGAAGTGGGAGTTAAGAAAATGGGGAAGGTTAACAATGTCTCCAAAGGTTCTGCCTCGGGCTGAAGGGTGAGATGGTTTTCCAAGCAGGTAATTACAGATGAAAGAGTTTCATGAGTTTGATGTATCCGTGGGCTAACTCTGTTATTACTATTTTGGCTCAATTCTATGGGCTTCTCCATGTTCAAAGTGTTAGACTTTTAAAAATAGTGTTTATGGTTCTTATATTTCCTACCTTTGGAAGGGGGAGAAGGAAAATTTTCATGGGAAGATTATTTTTCTGTACTATATTCCTCTGTTTGAACTGAAAATTAAGAAGAAAAACTCTTGTTTATACTATTTCTGTTGTCTGGAAGTGGCAGATACATTTCTGTGTGAACAAGTATAAAATCATGCATTTGTGGGAAAACAAATCAAAATTTTACTTACAGGATGATGGGTTCTGAACATTCAGTTATAACAGGTAAGATAACTGGGAGTCACTTTAGATGGTGCGTAAAGCCATCACCCTGCTGTGTCGCTATGTCTTGGGAGAATAATAAAATGATGGCTTTACTAATTCTTTTGAAAACTAGCAAAAATGAAACAGACAATGTATCCTATCTTTGGGTAAAACAATGGTGATTTCATGGCTGGAATGCTATGAACACATCTCGGTGCAAAATCTCGGGAACCCAAGAATTTTAAGGTTAGAGGACTATCTTAGATTGAGGTCCACCTTAAGCACACAAAGATTTGAGTGCAAATAGTTTATTTGGAAGGCAATCCTAGGCACCATCTGTAGGGGAGAGGGAAATGATCCAGTTAAGAGAAATAACAGAATACTAGGCTTATTCAAGAGCAAGTTACCTCTTTTGGCAATTGTGTCTCAATCTTACTGGGACTTCTGGGAGACAGGTTATAATGACCTCAGAGTTATCTTACGTGATGGGCAAGGAGGCTGGGGTATTTATCCATAACTCTCTTTGTAATTAGTCTAGCGCTGTTCCTGCGGGGATGTTAACCCTGCAACTCAATGGCCAAGCATGTTCCCAGGCCAGAGAAAGCACTCAGGCAGAGAATTACAAGTACAGTAAGAAGACACTGCTGTGTAGGGAATGGTGAATGATGAGGCAATGTGGGTGGGACAGTAGCAGTGTCTACCACACAAGGACTTTAGGAATCAAGAAAGTCTGTAAAATGAGGACTAGAATGGTCAAGGTATATGAGCTTGGATGAAAAAAATAGAGGATAACCAATGGAGATAGGATTTGAAATGAATGAATGAATGACTAAATAAAATGAATAATGGGAACATAGACACCTTCAAAAACTAGATAGCTGCGTGAGATAGTCTCCTTTGGAGCTTAGAAAGGTAGGTTTAGGAAGAATGAAAGGAAATACTAAAGGTCTGGCCCAGTGGCATAGTGGTTAGGTTCGCGTGCTCCACTTCGGCGGTCCGGGGAGTGCAGGTTTGGATCCTGGGTGCGGACCTATGCATCGCTTGTCAAGCCATGCTGTGGCGGTGTCCCACATATAAAGTAGAGGAAGATGGGCACGGATGTTAGCCCAGGGCCAATCTTCCTCAGCAAAAAGAGGAGGATTGGCAACGGATGTTAGCTTAGAGCTAATTTTCCTCAAACACACAAAAAAGGAAATACTAAAACACTGAGTCACATAATAGATAATTAAGTTTTGGAATGCATATCATCAGAAAGTTGTGAATGTTAAAAATAAATCCAACAAATTTATGAGTAGTTAACTCATCATTGTAGGGAAGCTGGAAGCATGTGTCTCATCTTTGAAGAGGATAATAAGAACAAACATATCACTTTCAATATTATCTCTTAATGCTTCTTTCATTGACAAAGTACTAGCCTGAATAAACAGCAGAATCTGACCCATTGTGGGGAAGCAAGATGAAGTAGTTCCTTTTTTTTCTTTTCTCTCTTGCCTGGTGCCTTTGGCTGTCATTACTAGTAAATGCATACTTTAATGATTCAAAGTATCCTGTAATTATATCCTTTCTTTCTGAACCTCGTGTAAGTCAAACCAATAGCTCTTTTTGTTTATAAGAATTACTTTTAGTCAGGGAAGACGTCAGAATTTAATATCAGATTTGGTAGTTATGCCTAGAAAATGAAATTGGTTGTAATTTCTATAAACTTTTATTTGGAAAATATTTTCTCCTCAAAAATAATTCAATTCCCCTTATCATAAGCAAAAAAGAACATTTGTTTTATTATTTTTAAATGCAGATTCTACAGTAATGTATTAGGCATGTATCTATGAACCCTTTGAATTCTTTCTCCTAGAGCAAGGGGTCAGCAAACTATGCCCCTGGGGCCATCTGGCTTGCCACCTGTTTTTTATATATAAAGTTTTATTGGAACGCAGCCACACATATTCATTTACTTATTGTCTATGGCTGCTTTCAGCTGCAACACCAGAGCTGAGTAGTTGCAAGAGACCATATGGCCCTCATAGCCTAAAATATTTACTCTCTGACCCCTTACAGAAAAAGTTTGCCAACTCCTGCCCTAGAGAGTAGTTAGTCCTGTTAGTGCTATTAAATTTTCTTCTCTCTTTGCTCATTTTCTTTTGCTACTATTTAAATTATTTCTGTTAAGGCTGTTTTCTTGTTCCCCTCCCTCCCTCTCTCTCGGTCTTCTCTCTCCCTCCCACCTGCTTCTCTGCCTTTCTCTCTCCACATGTCTCTCCTTTCTTACCAGAGTCTTTTAGCAGTATTTGAGTTGGACAGTGAAATGGAGCTACTGATAAGGAATGTAACACCAGTTTAAAGTATTATTAGTAATTTGTTTCTTAAATACCATTCAGAAACCAGTGGCCTCAAGAAGAGAAGCTTTGGTTCAATTAAATTTAAATCTCTATAGACCTAGAACTATGTTTGAGAGATAGAAAAGTATGTTACGTTTCCTTTTTTTTTTTTTTTTTGGCTTGAGGAAGATTGGCCCTGAGCTAACATCGGTGCCAATCTTCCTGCACTTTATATGTGTGTGGCCAAGCATGGCTTACTGAATGGTGTAGGTCTACACCCAGGATCTGAACCTGTGAACTGGGCCGCTGAGGTGGAATGTGCAGAACTTAACCACTACACCACTGGGCCAGCTCCATTCGTTTCCTTCTTTTAAGGAGCTTTAATTTAATCTTTAACTACAGGCTGCAGTAATTTTGACCTGTTTTATGATTTTTTACTTCTTTCACAGATCTTAGCACAGTGCTTTACACATAGAGTCTTAGTATTTATTGAATGAATGAATACCAAGTTGGCCCCAGACCTTAGCTTTGAGTTAGTGAGTATTTACTTAATTCATTTATTCACAAAAATGGAAAATGTTTAGTATCAACCTAGATGCAAAACATTGTTAGAGGTTTTCAAATATGTTTTTCATTTCAAAATGAGTTTTGAAATAACCATTTTTAAAATTATGTGCAATTTGCTTGCCCTCTCCCTTACTATGTCCCCTAAGAGTGCCCAGTGGCTTTTCAGCCTTTAATTTACATACATGAAACCTGGCGATCTTATTAGAATATAGATTTGAATTCAGTGGGTCTGAGGTAGGACCTGAGAATCTGTATTTCCAGCAAACGTCCAAGTGATGCCAATACTGCTAGAGCAGACCAGTAGCAAGGCACAAAGGCATCTAGAAATATATTAGGGAGGGAAAACCAGCATCCTTTAATGGCTCAGTGGCAGTTGTCCTCTGTAGCACTACCACTGGGAGGCATAAGACTTAGTGAATCTTTGTGATTCTTGGAGGCAACATAATTCCACATTTGAGTATACTATTCTGACACATTTATTGAGTAGGGGACAGAAGGTGGAAGCCAGCTACCTGGTGGCAGTTTGACTATATTCATGTAGCTGTGAGCATCTGACGACTTTAACATGACATCTAGAGTCGTTGTGCCTGAGCACTTCCTTACTTATATATATTTTATTTTTTATAAATTGCTCATTTATTTCCCCTTTATTATATAGTTATGAATATATATATCTATCTTAAAATTATGTGTATGGTTAGGACATTTTACCTCTGGATTTCATTTTCAGGGTAGTAAAGGGGATGTTACAATATATTTGTTTTACTAAGAGACCTTGGGGTGGAAGAGAATTGTGAACCACTGGATTAGAGGATCTAAGGTGGGATCTAGAGGAGGATGGGTGAAATAACCATTTTTAAAACTATATTTTTTGTTAAGAAAAATTTCAGAAAAATGAAAGTAAAACTGTATTAGTTGATGTTTTTTACATTTGAAATTATTTAAAAATTAGATGCTTCATAATTTTCGTAGTTGAAAATTAGTGAAATTTAGGAAACAATGATTTTTTTCTTTTATGTAAAATTTTGCTATTTATTTAGCACTTTCCAGAACATTGGGAGAAGTTAAAAAGTAAGAAATATTATGGCTAATTTGTATGGTGGAAGAAAGAGAAAAACTGGAAGTCAGAAGATACAGGTCCGTTGTCACTTCTTGCCGTTACTGTTATCATTGGTAGATGTATATCTTTTCTCTATGTCTCAGTTTTCTCATCTCTGAAATAGGAAAGGCAGTGTACAAGATCTCAAAAAGACTTTCAGTTCTAAAATTCTTTGTTATGTTGTATTTTAAGGTCCTCTGCCATGGTATAAACTTGAAA